AGTATTTTGAATATATCACAGTTGATCAAAAAATGCAATAGAAATTTTAAAAAGAATAGAACCAATTGCTCATTAAAAGGAAGGCTAAAATGGCTGACACATTAGATTTTGATAGTATTTCAAACTCATGAAAAATGGAAAATAAAGAAAAATGTTTACAAGAAAGAAAAGAAAAATACAAATGTTACTTTCAGAAATTAAGAAAAAATGGCAAATGTCTCATCTGCACAAGAAAGTTTTTTCTGTTTTAACTATACTGGTGACACTGGTATAGTTAAATAGGCACATTCCTCCTAGTGCATTATTCCTTTTAAAAAGTGTTCATTTACAGGAGGGGTGGGAAATTATCTGGGCCTAGGGGCCACATAGGGAGTTTTGGTGAGTTGCTGCAAAAACTCACCAAAACTCCCTATGTGGGATGGGGCTGCAGGTGAGCGGGGAGCGGTGTTTAGGAGCAGGACGGGGTGGGGGGGTGGGGGGGGGCTGCCTGGGCACTAGGTCCTGGGAGCTAGCTGAGGGGGAGGGGGGGGCAGGGGACATAAGCATCAGAGCTCACCCAGGCAATGCGGTCCATGGTTGCCCCCACAGCACTTCACATGGGGCTGAGCCCCCACAAGACAATCCCCGCTGGAAGCTGTCTGCACTGACCAGGGCCACTGGCTCAGCCCCATGCAGAGCGCTGCAGGATTTAATTAACTGACGAGTGGCCCCTTGCAGGCCAAATCAAATCAGTTGGTAGGTTGGATTCAGCTCACAGGCTGTATTTTGCCCACACCTGCTTTATAGGTATGAAATCTTAGGCTTATTTAGGTTTAGGAAGAAGAGAATTTACTGGTATAAATGTGACAAACATATCACTGCATCTATACTACAGCTTGTATCAGTATAACTGTGTTGGGGGGAAAAATCATTTCCCACTCAAAATACTGATAATATTCTTAAGGATAGATAGGGACCTACTTCGCAGTTTTGCAGATTTCACAGACACCGTGACATCTGGGATTGTCCATGAAATCCGCAAAATCAACCAGAAAAAATCTGGCTCCCCAGTAGGAGCCAGCAGTCCTCACTGCTGGGAGGGGAAGGTGCCAGCTGCCACACAGTGTGGCTTGAAGGACAGAAAAGATGGCAGCTACTCACTCATCCCTCCCGCTCCTCCCTGGGCCTTCCCAATCAGCACTGACAGGTGGAGGGGCATGAAGGGCAAACAGCCAGCAAGTTGATCCTTCCTCCCCCCTGAGGCCTCTTAGCCAATCAATGCCATGGCATGGGGCCTCTCTGCCAATAAGCACCAAGGGGCAGGACTACCACAAAAGGCCCACAAAATTGACTGTGTACACTATGATCAGGCTGCAAAAAACCTTTTGTCTCACTGTGTTTTAAGTAGATCCCTAAGTACAGACCAAAGCTTAGTGCTCATTCAGTGCCAACATGAAAAATCAAAGAATTTGGAAATGCAAGATCCAGATCAGCTGAACTACCCATCTTTCCATGCTGATAAGGAACTGATAAGGATTGGGTTGTTTTTTAATCTGTTTTCTTGCTTCTTATCTGTGAATTTAGCCACTAGATCTCGGAAAATATATTTAAAAGCAATTATGTTGCTTGGCTTTAACTTTTTTTTTAAATTTAGGTCAATATAAAAACTGAAAATATTTTATAGATCTAGAAAACTCATCTGAATCTTTACCAATAGGTTGCAGCTTGTTAATTTAAAGCATGATAATGGTTTTTTCTTTGTGGTATTACCAGTAAAAGTTAACTATTAAATTTGCATTTTAATCTTTTTGCTTTCACTTGCTGGTCAAACACAAAACCAGCAAGTCAAGTCACTGTATTTACATGACACCTAGCTAGACTAAGGTAAAACCTCCATAAAGCGCTCCTGTGTAAAACATCTGGGATGCTCAGCTAACATTTTATTTAAATGTTCCTGTTGAATTACTGAAAGTTCAGAAAGGATTGTAGCTAATTATCCTTTTAAATCACAAAGGCCAGATTAATGATTGCTCAAATGACACCAATATGGCAATAAAAGTGACAGGTATATGGTTGACTATGCAGTCCTCTCTTAAAGCCTGTGATTACTCATTTGCTAATGTAATTGCTGTTAGAAAAACCTGAATTGGCTTACAGAAACTCTAAATTGTAAGCCTTCACTAATAGGTAACTAATCATTTCTCCACCTCCTAGTCAAGACACCTTCATCTCAGTTGCAAAAAAAGGATATTAGTATTAAAGAGTAATTTCACTAGTTCAGTAGCAAATGCTTAGTCAGTGTTGCCAGCTCTCATTACTTTAGTATGACATAATAGGATACACATGAACCTGAGAGACCATCAGCTTCTTGTTTAAAAATAAAAGTAAGCTTCTAGTCCCCATGCTTGCACAGCAAAGCTGGGCAATGTAAGCCTTACAGGCTCGGATCTCAGAAGGCAAAAAAACCCCAAGCCCCAAATGTATTATTTATAAGACAGTCTCCTGATTTTATGGTAACTGACTCATGAGCTTTAAACCTGAGGGGATAACAGTATCACTTACTAATGGGTATGATGCCTACAACTGCAAGTATCCCAGTGACATTTATGGGCTCAATGCACTGTTATCCTACACCTTGTATAGTCACTTACACTAATGCAAAGTGGTTGTAAAGTGCTGCCATTATGCCAGTAGCATTTTACAACCCCTTTCCACTAGCATAAATGACTGCACAAGAGGCAAAGCAACAGCTCATCAAGCCATAAGGGACAATTCACAGTAATAAGGACAATATGTGTTCATAATATCCGGCCCTTGGTACAAATCATACTTCTATGAATGAAATATGCTGGCAGCTTTGGCTTTGCTGTGTGATAGTACAACAGGGCTGTTGTTGGACTTTTAGCTGGTCTATTTATATGTTGTGCCTCCTACAAGTCAAATGGCCTCTCACTTCAGCATTCTCAGAAATGTAATCTGTCCTAAAAAAAAAAAAAAAAAGGAAAGTAAAACTTTTTTTCAAACCCTGAATGCTCAAAGCACAAGGAAGGAAGTGTTGTCAAACTTTTTTGTTTAGTTCAGGATGCTCTTTGTTTCAGGAGCGGCCAGTGGCTAAAAGACTTCTGGACTTCAGTCTTTTGACCCAGGGAAGTCAGTGGGATTGATAGTAGAAGAAGTACAGGATTGGGACCCTAGTTCGAATTAAAACAGCTCATATTAGTTGATATGTGCTTTCCATCCTGTGGTATCTGAATAGCTCCCAAAGTAGTAAGAAGTGTACATTCAAAGGTTGCTCTGGAATGTCTATTTTTCTTTTCCTTTCTTTACACCATGTCTTTCTCTTTCTTCTAGTCAATAGGAATGGGACTTTTTTTTCATAATGTAGTGCCATTAAGAGAAAAGTAAGGAAATGAAGTGTTTTTTGCATTTTGATCTGAGATGATCTTGTTTTTAAATCATCCTGGTCTCTTTGGTGTGGGAAGGCAGAAATTCCAAATTTATGGGCCACTTGAATTTCCTATGCACATATGACTCTTACTCCTAGGTTAACAGGTCCCTTGTTCTCAACCAGGGTGCTTTGAAATCCTTTTAAGGGTGCTGGGAGATGCCACACAAAATTAGCTGTTAGATGGGCAAATACGTACACCATCGATTCACAGGACATAAGCCCAGAGATTCCAGATTGGAATCCATAGTCTGAAACCTTCGGACCTGTTGTGGTCTTCCTGAGCTCTTTACAACAGAAAAAATGCTCTATTATTTTCCCATAGTCAAAAAATGAGTAAAGCTAAGATCTAGCATTTTCTGAGAGGTGCCTTGAATCTAAAATGTTGAAAACAACTGTTCTAAGGTAACACAGCTGATGCAGAAGGTTATGGCAAAGATTATCCAACAAATCAGAATGAAATATCATGAAATCTTTGTTGGGAAAGGCAACATATGAACTGAATGAATATATGAAATAAAAGTGAGGACTAAAGCATTGTTTAGCCTATTTCAGAACAGAAAACCTGTGAAGTCCCCATGTGCACTCAACTTTCTTTAACTAGCTAACAAAGGAATGAATCAGAGCTGCAGGAGATGATTTGGTTTATTTGCAGTGGTTGGGTCTTCCTGTTGTGTCAAAGGGTCTAATTCAGAGAGGAAAGTTTGCCCTGTTATCAGGCCTAAATTCACTGTCAGGCTTTTGGTGAATTCAGAGGCAGTCTCAGATGTGTACAGTTTTCTTCAGATCAGGTGATCAGGCAAATAATTCCTTGCAGGGGGATGTCCTTTATTCTGGGACTGAATTTTTGATTCTGGGACTTTGAGCCTGACAAGCTTGGGCGCATCCACACGGGCCCCAACTGTGCAGTACCTGCCAGAACTGTGCAGTCCCAGTGGCACACAGTTATTTTTAGATGCCATGTTGCTGTAGCGACAAGCTACATCACGTAGTGATGTAGCTACAGTAATGTAGCTTGTCGCTACAGCGATGTAGATGCACCCAGTGACTTATAGTCTGCGCTAGTTTAGCAGGGTGCAATTTAGGGTATGTTTATGTTGCATGATCCAGCACTGTCTAGAAATACCTGAGTTAATTCTGAACAAGAAAGCCAAGGTATTAGAAGCATTATAGCTGCATTAGCAGGTGCTCCACCCAGATCAATATACCCTGCTTCTCAGCGGGTCTAATTGTTCAGACTCAGGTCAAGTATCTATACACAGCACTGCCTTGTGCCATGTAGATATAGTCTTCATGACTGCTACAGGGAAAGGGAGATGAGAATTCATTGCATGTTTTGTGTCCAGGGGTTGTATTTCAGAAGTGCCAGTAATGTTCAGGTTTTCTCCCAGTATCATGTATTCCACCTACTTGTATCTTGCATCTATTGGTATCTCAGTCATGGGTGTTTTGTTGTTCCTGCCATACCCTTTACATTACCTTCTCAGATTACTTCTCTCCAGCAGTTTCAAAATGACACATTTCCCAAGAATAGAGCTTAAGTTAATTGAGGATGACATTCTTGTTTGGTGCACAGGAGCTATGCAGTCCTACACATGGTCCCTCACGTACACCGTGACAACAGCTGCTGGGTCACCTGCTGAAAACTCTCAACAACTGTCCTGCATGAGGAGTCCTCATGTACCATCTTCATCTGTCACACACAGGATACCTGTTTATCCTCACAGAGAAGAGCATGGGTAGGTCATTTCCCTTTGTGTTTTATTTATTGGTTTTAAACACTCATTAAAACTTGCAATCGCTTTTTTCAAGGGCACCTGAAATCCAAGATCTATTTTGTGATGTGACAGAAGTCTATTTCAAATGTGTTGCTATGTAGTATATTGTGCCAGATGTTTCCAGTTGGCATCTGTGTGCCAAGTTTGTTTAGCGAAAATATATGAGAGATTATTCTTGGGAGTTGCTCTTCATCTTTGGAACTCCCTCCCCTGTGAAGTCCGTCATAGCCCAAGACTGGAAATCTTTTTGGAAACAATGTAAGACCTTGTTATTTGGGCAGGCTTTTAGCAAGTAAAGTTTTGGGGTATTGTTTAGGGAAGGATTTTTTTATCATTTACTATTTTATTTTTATATTTTACCTGTTTTTATTACTTGCCTTGTTTTTATTATGAGCTATCCTGAGTCTTTTTGGGGGAAGGTGTCATGTAAATCAAATCAATAAACAATCCTAGCCAAAAATAGATGGAGACTTGGAAAGAGTCTTAAAGGGAAAAGGCAGAGATGGTATAATGGTATCATTCTAATTCTGATCCCTGATATTTTACTGTTGTTCTAGACCATCCAAATTAACCGATCCTACCTATACCAGGTTCATTAACAATGAACCAACCAGTTCTGGTGTTTGGAAAAATAGACAACTTAGAACCAGAAAGAAGAACCAAATTGCTTCTCCAATGACAAAAATGTAGCCAGGCCTCTGAAAAATGCTGATCCATTGAAGTAACCACAAGTGCAAAAGTCAATGAACACTTTACAAACCTTAACTAAGAAGCATAACACTTTCATACCAGCCACTGAAGAAAGGGCTATGCATGCATCTGGTTTAGAGTATCATGGTCAAACCTCATTTGCCCTCTAAGCATTAGTAGTAGTAATCACTGTAGTCAAATCATGTGTGTCTATTTGGAGACTTGTAGGAAAACTAACATTTTCATATTTCGCTTTCTATGTGGTTTGACTACAGTGAGAATTTCATGATACTGGACTTGTGTGAGAATGAATCCAGTAACTTACTGTAGGCTGTTTTGGGACTCAAAACTCAATACATAGTGCCTTTCAAAGGTCCACTCAAATATTCAATATAACACTCACTTAAAATCATAGAAATGTGTGATTTGTTAGATCTTATTTGCAGAGAGAAAGAAAAATAGGAGACCTAAACTGGAAAGAGAAATAGGGTATGGATCTATTGCTATACTGAAGGGAGGGCAGGATGTGTTTTAAGAAAATTAATTATAACCTTAAAGTTTACCAGTTCAAACACAGGGTAAGCCTGAGAAGCCAGGCAAGAAGATCATAGTTGGTACAAAGATTTCCAGGTTTCCAGTGAAAGCTAAATAACCACAAAGGGCACAATTTATCCTGGGACAGAGGCCAGCCAAAAGGGTTATGTATCATCAAGGGCTATGGCATATTCAGGCTTTGAGCTGTTCTTCTGCCCAGAGTAAATTTTAGATTAAATGTAGACTCTCACCTTACCAGCATACATGAATAGGGAAAAGAGCTTCTGGCTTTTCAAGCAAAATTGCTGCAGGAGTTGCTACCAGTCAGTGTGGAGGATGATCCCCTCTGGAATGTAGAAGCTTTACTGAGTACTTAAATGAAGAGAGTACTGAAAGAGATCAAAGCTTTTTCCACTGATTATATTTTACCATATAACAGGGCTGAAGGCAGAGGGTGCAGCTTTTTTTGAGTTACCCTCAGAAAATATAAAACAGTAATAGGTATTTTGTTTGTTTCATTTTCTGCATAAATGAGGAAACCTCTATCTTGGGGCTAGGGGTGCCAAATAAAGTGAAAGGTTGCTGATAAAAGGTGCTTCTGTGAATGTAAATGCAGAGGAGTCATCAATGTTTCCCTCTAAATTTTCAGGGAGGGCAACATTACATAGTATAGGGACCTAGCCCTCCAGAAGGTACTGAGATAGTGACATTCTGCTGTGGTTGAGAGGAGAAGAGATTTATCTGTCTATTTGTGCTGGTGGAAAAATTGATGCTAACAGAACTGTTACATGCTACATTTCTTTCTCCCTTAAATGTGACATTTATACGCTGTTTACTGAAGTCAAAACAGGAATCAGTGGAACAGTATTCTAGTCTTTAGAGGTTTAGGTAGCCATTGCTAGTATTTGAACAACTTCCAGTAGGTCATTCAACTTTGTAACTAATATCAGTCCATAGTAGTTTGTTCTCTTATCTTCCTCGGGAAGGAGAGTTGGCAGTTGAATTGAAAGTTATTTTGTTATGGCTTTTATTTTAGTTAATGCCATTGCTGTTGATATTGTGTGACTTTTTAAAATACATACATTGCCACATGTTTGTATTAGAGAAAGCAAGGTAGATGAAATGGAAGGTGGTAAAAGCTGTATGATGATCTGCAGTTCCCGTGAGTTCATTCTGCTCTCTTGGACCAGCCTTAAGAAACAGGATGCTCTGTCTCCTACACAGATCTTGCTGACCCTTTTTTGAGAGAGTTTCATTGCAGCAAGGGAACAGAGTTGTTTTTTTCCTGGATCTGTAAGTGGTCTTTTAGACATCCTGAGCCCAAGCTATTGAACATGTAGAGTATAAGGACCAAGTTCTTAAACATAATTCAAGTCTGTGGGACACCAGTGTAGACAGAAGAAGAAAGGTTTGAATGTACTTGTTGAGCCCAAGTTGATGAGACTTTGTGTCCAGTTATGTTACCATACTCTTGTCTAGCTGAAAAGTGATGCAGCTGTGAGTAATTGAGGTGAGATCATCTTCTTCCTGAATGGGATGGTATCTCCTGACCAAGTGGAGATGAGAGAAAATGTTATGCCCAGAAGTTGCTAAATAGAACTTAGGATCAGCAAGAAATCTCAACTCACTCCTGAATTACGGACTGAGTTGACCAGCTGTGGGTGTTCACCTTGAAGCAAAGGAGACTGCTCCACAGAATGATGTAAGAATATATGATGTAAGGCTTCCAGCTGACAGACAGAACTTCTTTTGTCAGTCTCTTGAACAAGGCTGCCCAGGAGACTGGAGCAAGGAACAAACAAGGCTGTCCAAACATGCAATAACATATAAACAGGATGTAGCAACTCCCAGGCGTGTCCTTCCTTCTCTTCACAAGGAATCTGGACAAGCTGTATCCTGTGGACAGTGCCTGGATCAATGCTGGTGTATTTGAAGGGGTGAGGACAGAGCCAGGGAGCCACCATTTTTCACAATGTGGTCTAATGCATTTTTTAGCAGAAATAGGCCACAGCCATGGCAGGAGGAACCATGCTGCCATCACCTGCACACAGAGAGCTGTCCTGATAGGCCAGTGTCCTTTGCGGAAAACACATGTATTCAGGACAGCACTTAAGCACAAGCTTGGGTAATGCTAATACCTACCCTTTGATCCCTGGCCCTGTGCTGCATATTGCATTACAGAGTGAAGAGAAGCTTCTGGCCCCAAGGTTTGAAGGAATCCTTTCCCAACTGGGTGTTCTGCCTTTTGTAAACTGTCTGTTCATCTGGCTGAGAGTGCTGTACAATTTCCTAAAGTGTTAATGTAAGAGTAACGGAAGATTGTTGAAACCCCTCCATATTGTGCTTTTACACTGAGCACCCTACAGGTGACACATACTAAAATCAATTTAGAAAAAGTGAACAACCACCTTGCCCCTCTCCAAAGTGTATCACCTGTCACTTCTTTTCCCCTGCACTGTGCTCTATTTCTATTTAGCATGCACTAGAGCATGGGAAGGGCTGGCACAGGAGCTATCTGGGGGCGGGGAAGGGTGGATGAAGGCTGCAGCAGTGGTGGCAGTCCCCAAAGGAAAGACCATGGGCACTGCTGGAGTAGTGGGGGCAGGCGCAGGGTGCCAAATGGGAGAGGAGAGCATTTATCTCCTCACAGAGGGAGATCTTGTGGCACACTTCCATCGCTCTCCCATGGTACACCCTTTGGGAATCACTGGTCTAGCACTTGGATGGCCATGCAGAGATGGGGAGAGAATAGGAAGTTTCCAGTCCCTCGCCCTTCTGCATAACCTAATTAAAGGTTGACAGGAAACTGTGGTCAGCTGCACAGGGTGGGTATGAAAGAGGGTAGAAAATTAGTGCACCATGCCCAGCACAACTTTGGAACAAGTCTCCTGACAAAGTGGGAATGTGGTTTAATTCCAAAAAAGTTCAGCCCTTAGGGGCCAGTTCTTCCACTCCCATACTGAACCGGACTTTTCTGTGCAGGTAGCTTCACCGAACCATTGCTAGGAGGAAGGAACCACATGTTAGTAAGAATGGTAGAACCAGTCCCTTGCAGGGGTCAGTAAGATGTGGCTTCTGGGCTGGATCTGGCCCAAGAAGTAGTTGGATCTGACCTGTGAAGGTCTGATCTGGCATGGGGGATCCACAGCATGCAGTTGCACCATGTCACCTCATCCTTTCTGCAGCACCCCCCTCTGCTTCCTGCTACTCTCATGCCTGTGTTTGCCCTTGCCACAGAATTTGGCCCTCTCCATTAGTGGTGAGAATAAACCCAGGCAGTTTAGATACTCTCAGGGGGGTGGAGATTTGTGGCCCATGGTGTGGGCTGGGTGACAAGCATTAGCCCATGGCAGGAAAAGTTTGCTGACCCTTGGCTTAGAGAGCTACACAAATGATTGTGTGATTTCAAATGTTTGCTACCACACAGACACACTGAGTGACCACCACTCAGTTTCCTCTCTGTAAGAGACATAATTTCATTATGTGCTTCTTTGGGTTGAGTTGGGAGTAGATTTTGAACACTCTTTCTCCAAGTTAACATTCTCCTGGGGAAACTCGTGTCAAATATCTATTGCATATCATTAGAAAAATATATCAGCACAGTTAGCTGGAATGCAGTTATTGTGAGTACTAAGAGATGTTGTTTAATTTACATTTTAGATATACGGGAAGCTACAATTATGGCAGCTATAGCAACCAGCACCCTCACCCAATGCAGAGTCAGTATCCATCTCTACCACATGATACTGCCATTTCTGGACCGCTTCACTACTCAGCTTATCACAGAAGCTCTTCACAGGTAAGACTCTTTTTAAATTGTTAGTGCTTGCTTTCACATATTAAATAAGTACTTTAAAAAATCTCTATTCAACATTCAAGCAACTATAAGTCACCTCTAATGACTGATATTTCCATGTTACATCCTAATGTTTATACATCCTGATGTTTATATTCAGCCTTTCCAGGCTATATTGGTCTATAATTTCTCAGAGGCATTTTCATCCTGGCTGTAGATGCTTTTTTTTTTTTTTAACTGAATGTTATTTTATTCTGCAAAATTGTTTGGAGTGCTAGAGCCTTAAATATAACTAGCAGGATATCAAAAATGTTTCTTTACCAAGCACTAGTCTAAACATCAATTTAAGTAACAGAACACTTGTACTAGCTGTTCTGAACTGGAACAGATGTCTTATTTGAAGTAAAACTGTCCTAAAACAGAAATACTGACCTAATGCAGAGGCTATAATTTAGGAACTTTTGCCCAAGACAGGAGAGTGGGTAAGGGATTTTCCAATTAAAAAACATTTCTCACAAATAATCAATTAATTGCACAAAAGAGTTTGTTTAAATATTTGAAAAACATTTTTACATAAACATTTATGAAATTGTCAAAATAGCATTTTCAACTTTTCAAAATTGTGCTTTCACTAAAAAATTTTTAAAAATGTAAACATCAAAATAGAAATGAAATGGTTTGAAATGACTGAAGTAGTGTTTTATCTGAATTTATGAACAACTATTTTTGGATTATTATACCATTGCAATTTTCAAGATTTGTATTTTTTTTTCTCCCTATTCAAGATGAGAAAAGGTTTCAAATGCTTGCAGGGTATGGACACCCATTTTCTACACATTTCTGTTAGTGTATTTGACATTTTATCCTTCTGAGGGAAAGTCATATGTTTCAAGTTGTGAAAAATATAACTTGAATTACAGCTCTTAACAGAGGCTCATTATTTTACTAGTCATAAAAATTAGACTTTTTTCCTTTGAAATATTCAGTTGGAGTTCTGGATTCAAGAATAGCAAGGTGAGATTTGCCATTGATTTCAGTGGAGCCACAATTTCACCCATATTTATCATCATACAGTTACTTTAAAAATGTTTAACACATGACCCAGTTATATTGCTCAATCTAGTGTGCAACTGTGAATGAAATATGCATTTATTAAAGTTGTTGGGGCTAGAAATAACTTGAGGTGATTTAAAGCCATTCTGTTGGTTGCTCCAAAATAGCCCCTTACCACTTATTAACATGCATTGGACTTCTGTTGCATTTCACATTTAGGACTCATGTCAGGTACTCGAATGAAAAAACTATGGGCCTAACTTACTCCAGTTAAGATTTAATTTTAGTGAAGTTCGGCTGGCATGAAACTGGAGTAGCACAATGGCGAATCATCCCTTATGTCTTCTAGCTCAGGTTTTTTCTCACTCACTGTGCTCCTAGCATTTTGTTTCTGAGTTTATTGTGAAGAACTCTGGGATGGCTTTCCATAAAAGGCACTATCTGAGCTGACTTTGGATTGTAAAGTTTATAGCATACATTAACTACAGTATTTTGGTATTTCAGTTCATCGGACTGGGCATGTCCAGGGGTGGATCCAAGGTGGGGTGGTAGTGCAGTTGCATCCCTCCCTGTCCCCCCCCAACTTTGGCTGTGTAGTGAATATGCAGTGGGCTTTCTGAGCTCACCAGCATGTCAGTGCAACTCCATGTGGAGCTTACACACAGCTCTGGAACCCAGTAGGTGAGCACTACAGCTGCTTGCCCTCTCCTCCCTCTTTCTCCAACTTCAACCCTGCTGAATTCAGTGGCAGGGGAAAAGAAGGGACCTGGGCTCTGCAGCTGCATGAAAGCAAAGGCTCCAACCAGCCCCCATGCCAACCAGCTGTTGAGTTCAAAGCTCTCTGAGCTCACTGACATCCAGGATCACTGTGAGGGCAAAGCAGCCATACCCCATTCAGCTGTGTGTCCCATGTGCAGAGAGCTGTCTTCACTGCACACATGCCACACTGCCAAAGAGGGTATAACTGCACCCGCCTATCCTGAATCCTCCCATGGGCTTGTCAGAACCAGTGTGCAGTCTAGCGGGGGCAGGCACAGCTACTGGAAGCAAGAATGAAGTGGTTCTACTAATCATGGCCTAATTATGTATTGAACTGGAACCCCAATTCTTTTCCCAGTTGTATCACTGGCCTGCTGGGTGACCTTAGGTAAATCAGTTTCTCTCTCTTTGCCTTAGTTTCGTTACCTGTGTAACGAGGATAATGATTCAGACTTCATTTGTAAAGCATGTCTCTCTGAAGGAAAATCTCTGTCTACAAACTAGGTAGAGCAGATTGCAGAGAGAGTCCTCCTGTGACCTCCCACACACCTCCCTTACACCTGGTCCCATGCTTTTTATCTGTAGTAAGGAGGAGTGGTGAAATCTGTTGCACTAGCCCACATGTATATTTTAGTCAGTAGCAGCCAACTTGGACTGAAATTTCTTGTTCAAAAGAAGTGTTTGTTATCATTCACATTTAGTTTAAATCTAAAAGCCTTGTTTAGCACAATTTCATATGCAATTTATCATGTCTTTTGTGCCTAGGAGCCAAACTGGAAAAGGAGTCTCCTTGTGCTTGGCACTGTACAAGCAGAGCAAGAGACAGTCCTGCCCCACACAGCTTATAGCGTAAATCAGTGGTGCTCAGCCTTTTGGCTGTGTGGGCCACACGAATGGCATGAGGCCAGTCTGTGGGCTGAAATGGACCCTGGATATCCGTATCAGGCCTAAACACCCAGATTGTGCGTGCAGCCTTGCCTGGCTCCCATGTGCTGGGACTGGCCCCCATAGACCAGGCTCAAGCCCTGGGGCCATTTGCTGCTACCACCCAGTCCCACATGCTGGGATCACAGCCCCGGGGCCCTGCACCACCTCCTCCCAGCCTTGTCCACTGGGATTGGGCCCTGCACTGCCCTGCACATCTGATCTAGCGCATAAGGCCACAGCTCACAGGGTTCCCCACAGATGGATGACACAGCATAGGGGGTCTAATTGGCCCATGGACCAGGGCTTGAGACCCCTGATCTAAATAAACATGACAAATGGACAGAGTAGGAAGGTGGCAGTTAACCTACGAGCAGACTGAACAGCATGGCTAGTGACAGACATTCAAAAACACTGAGCCTGAATTGATTCCATCTTTGCAGGTTAGTCTAACCTGCATAGATTGAATTGATTTGCAAGTGAACAAACATTCACTTTTAATTCCAGAAATGCAGGCACATGCCTGCAGTGGCTCAGGCTAGAAGCCAGGGGGTGCTAGAGCAAGCCCTCCCTTCCCTTTGGTAGCAGCCGCAAGGCTGGAGGGAAGCTGACCTGAGAGGCGTAACCAGTAGGCCTGTGCAAATAAGGAAGTACTCAATTCAGATTTGGATTCGGCCGATTTGGAGAACAGCAATTCAATTCAGTGATTTGAATCACTGACCCCATTCAAGTCAGCCAAATCGGCTTTTCAAAGATTCGGCGCTGATTCGCAGAGATTCAGTGATTTGGATCGGCCGGGGAGAGGCAGGCACAACCAGGCAGCTGCAGGTTCTCTCGCGGCTCCTCCAGCTGTGCCTGCCTCTTCTGGGG